TAACTCAGAGTTGGCAACCCTGTTTAGACTCCAGACACTGGAGGAAGCCAGGAACTCCTGGCTTTGTTAATAGCACTGTTATTGATTCATTGGTGTTTTATGTTTATTGACTGTATTACTGTGCTAATTGTTACTGCAGAACCAGATCAGGAGCAAAGACACTAGGATTGTGGGCTTTCTTCCTAAATTCTTCCTAAAACGCATTTATGTTTGAAAATTGGTGGGCACACCCGGGGGGGGGAGCACCAGAAGGTAGCCTTGCCTAGTGTGCAAAAAAAACCTGGAGCCAGCCCTGTACACAACACTCAAAGATTATTTTCCAGAGTCAGATTCTAAGGCCTAGGCGCCAAGTAACCCATGCAGATCCTGAACCAGACAAAAACAGTAATCATTAGCAAGTTTACCCAACTGCAGTAAGCTCTAAACAAGAATTTCAGTCTGGAGCAGAATTTCCCCCAAAATAAAGTCCTTTTCTTTAAAAGGGAAATACACTTTCTCACAGTGACATGAACCAGTCAGCCTAAAAGGAAAGAACATGTGGAAAACTGGGCAAGAATGAATGAGATCATTTATCTGTCTCATAAGGTTTCATAAACACGTTAGCCACAATGTCTCATAAGCTAGTTATCACAAGAGCTCTTACCACAGATTTCTTAACATTCTTGTAATATGGATTCCAGCCTATACTCGAGACCATTTTATGCACATCTCCATTTGCAACAGAAGCCCATCCATAGTATATGCCAGTAGGGATATCAGAAGGGAAATTCTCAACCGTTTCCTCAGAAAAGTTAGCTGAAAAATAAAAGCAAAAGCTTGCAGTCATGCCCTGTGTCAGTAAGTCACATTCATTTTCTTTGGTCTTTTCCCATTTTGGCAGACATGACTAGAATTCAGATGAAAGACGAACTCTGTAAATCAAAATGACCTTGATTTAAAAGGGAATTCAATTTCATCTCTTTCTTCATGATTCATATTAACCACCTAATAAATCAATAAGTCAGTTTGAATTTTCCATTTTGTAACTTCCGTAACAGCTACATATTCCACCCTACAATGAGTAGTGGGAAATCGAACAAGTGTGAATTCCAGCCAGAGTAGATTTTACAAACACATACACTGACAGAAAACAAGAACATCTTCAGCATAAATGAACAAAAACTGCCTTATTTTAAGTCATACATTTCACTCTTATATGCTCCAAGCCCATTCACTAGATTAAAAAAAAAAACACTTTTGCTTAGATTTTTGTTTGATT